TTCTCCGTCTGACCTTGAACAAGGCTTCAACAAACATCGATTTCGACCGAATAGAAATACGATTCTAAGTGTGACGGCTCTGTTAATTGCTCTTCTCTGCCTGAGTCTCGAAAGTTGGAAGTTCCATTGTTCTTTGATTAATGCTCGGGAAATCGAAGAGCTAAAACGAAGTGTAGAGAGTTTGAAACATCGCTTCGTGAAAGAAGATCTACTGAATGAACTAAAAGCCTTCGAAGAACAGGTAATGGTTTTTTTTACAAGTAAATGAAGAAGAACGAGAGTATCGCGTGGCGATAGAATTACTCAGGTACTATGTGTAATTCGTTTCTTTCATTTTTTACATTACTTTTAGATTGGAACTTGATGTTAAAGATTCGGATTACAAAATTAAGATTTCAAAGAGTATCTTGATAGAATAATAATTTCTTCTTCCTTAAGTTTATCAGTTTTTCTAAGATTCACGTGATTTGAAGTCCTCTTTGGAAACAATGAACACAAGAAATTCGTTTATGCATTTCGAAGGCATCTTTACCGTTATTTATAATAGCCCTGACGATTCTCGGATCTCTGGACCCAAAATATCCAAGGTTCTAATTATTTTTTCTAGTTATTTTTACACAAAGGCTTCTTTATATCTGATTTCAGAAGTTTCCCTTTTCTTATAACTTTCTCACCTTTTTCTAAGGCATACGTTTCCCAATTCAAGATAGATGATAAGAATTATCAAGAAACAAATAATTAGATAATGCTATAACACATCCCAGTGAAAATAGAGAAATTTATATCTTCTCAAAAAATGCTTAACAGAAACAGGAAGTCCTTGTTTAAGTGATTTAGGTAACAAGATGAGGATTAAGAAGCACAATTAAAGTTCTGAACCACTGAATCATCTTATGAACACTAATTTATAACAGTAACAAGCATTTTCTAAATTAATATTTATTCTAACTGATCTAATTTTAGTAAAATTAAATATTTCTTCCGTTATAGGAAAAATGAAGAAAAATAGACTAAATATCAAATCAAATAAACAAATTGTATTACATTAGTCAGTATTAGAAACATCACTAAGGTTCGCTATATTGATATTAATTATGTGATAACCTTGCAATGGCTCTCCTTTAATAGGCTCGCGTTACATGAAGAGGATAATAAAAGAAATCAGGTTATCGGTCTCCGGTGACATTAAAGGTCGTAGATAAAAGAACGGACCACGTGCTTGCGCGTGCACGGGTACAAAATGATTCGATGACCTGTTCGACGATTCACATTGACATCGAGGAGTCATGCAATAGAAAAGTTATTACGTAAATTATGTAATTCTACGCAGAATTTGATGCCCGTCCGATTCATGATGTAAGGCATCATCGCGTTACGTAATGGTGGATATTCAACGGATATACATTGATTGCGCCTATTATAAGATACGTAAACATTCTAATCGATGCAGCATCTAAGATTCTTTCTTCGTTGAAAATACTGATAAATATATTTATTTTTATATCGTATAAGAAACTTATTTTAAAGTATAAAGATAAACATTCTTCGGTATAATAGATATCATTAAACATTAACTATTCAATTCAGTGATAATGATTGTCTGTTCACAGTTGTACACCGAAATGTACAATGATGATGATGATGATGATCCAGACGAAGCAGACATCGACAATGCGGATTACGACTCAAATTACGACGATGACACGTTTTCTTCGCACGATTACTCTCCGGTATTCGGTGCTAGGTCGTCCGATATCCCTGATTCCTCGTCGACAATTGCTCCTGTGCCCTCTCCATCAGAGCTCAGTGCAGATAAAACATTGTTGAAGTTAGCGACAGCGCACAAGATCGAGGTCAAATATAATGAAGACTCGGTGAAGAGTTACAAGAACGTGGATCGGGAGCGTCATCAAGAAAAGAAGGTTCTGGAAGGGAAATTGGAAAATCATGAAAATAATACTAAACGAAAGCGAGATGTACTAGGTACAGATAATGTAAAGGATCATTTTTTGAACTGGAAGATGAGCTTGAAGCGTAAACGGTCGATTGACGAAGAAAACTATAATTCTAAGAGATCATTTGTCAGAAGACATTCTCCTAAGAATCACGCGAAGGGAACGGCCGCTTCTAGTTCCGGTTCTAAAGAGATGTTGGATGACAGAAGCATTGATGACCAACAAAACACGTTAGTTGCAACATTTTATAATATAGTAGACAAAATTTTACCTAGAAATTAATAAGAATTCAATATTAGAAATTGCTGAACATTTCATGAACCACTAATATTTAATATTATTATAAAGTTCCTTTAAATTTAGTTATATCAATATACAAATTCAAAGCGAGAAAATATTATTCAGTACTCTTGGCAGAACGTAAGAATGAACGTAAGAGTGATTCAAGCACTTTCGTTTGTTTGTTTCTCGCAGGTCTATTGTCGTTTCTAGTAGGCATCCACCAAAGAAATATAATACCCACTCGTCTTTAGATAACACCGACGCATCTCCTTCGAAACATAACAAGATTACCGCGCAAGGTGTCACGAACCATTCTGCAAAGATTTCTCACAAATTTCGAAAGAATATGAATCTCTCTAGAAAAATAGTTGCTATTCACTTTGATGGAGATCGGAGTAAAGCCTCAGGATCAGACTATTATGCTGGAAATGGGAGAATTCGTCATGGCGGTAGTACGTTTAAGGCTTGGAAACCAAGTGATTGGGTAACTGATCTTGGTATGGGCGAATACTTCAGCATGTCCGATGACGGGAATGTTACCATTTACGAAACAGGATTATATCTAGTTTACGCGCAGATTCATTACAATGATGATCATGATGAAATTGGATTTCATCTGGTGGTGAACGGTCGGCCTATTCTTCAATGCATGGTAAGAGGAATATCATATCTAAAAAAAGATAATCTAGTTTTAAAATTGAAGATGAAGAATGTTATCGTTACTTTCAGTATTTATAGCATTTCCTTAAGAAGAAAAAAATGATTATAATTAATGTTTGTAGATTGATAACTCTGGTCACTCACGTAACATTAGCCAGACCTGTTTTTCGGCACAGCTGACACGGCTCAAAAAACAAGACGTTTTAGTTTTCAAAGAGGCCAGTTCGCCGAGATTCGCCATTTTCGACAAGGAAAACAGTTTCTTCGGACTAGTGAAACTTGGGGAACTAAGAAGGCCATCGCAGTGATCGCTTATTTGAAGATAGTAGTAATAATCATAATCAAACTTTAATATGCACTTATCACGAGTGAATCTCTTAAAAAACGAAGTGCTTATCTTACTTTAATAAAAAGTAATTTATTGATCGTTCATCACGGCAGTAATACCGTAAAGCTTTTCTTTCAATTATTGTCGATATTTAATGAAAATAGACGCGGGTCAACTTTGTTAATTAAAGACCAATAATTAAAGACCCATGAATGTATATTACCGCTGTAAATAAGATTTTTGCGTTTTATTATTAAGCAGTTTTTGAAACCGCCAATTTTCTACAGAGTCCAAAGATAGTGAGAGTGCAAGTGAGAAAAATATTAGATTAAGATCTTATAACTGATGTATCCGAATAAAATAAATCTTGCGATACGATTGCGACGCATGTTCTAACACACAGTATCGCAGACTAACTTTTTTTCACAGTATAATCTGGCACGATTACTGCCAATTGGCAACAAGTCTCCGGGACAGTCCATCAAATCAACGATAAAATTCGGTTTTAATAATTTCGTTGGGAAATTCGATGAACAATGATCTTCAGGAGTAAGGCTTGAATCTTCGCACTTTTGAGGGTATTCTTTTAGAGGTTCATTGATTGTGATAACTTCTGGGCAAGATAGATCTCTCTTTAGATAACAGTGAAAAGTCTCTTCCTCAATTGGGACTCTCACCTAGCAAAAATATCCTAAGCTCAGAAACTAATTATAAGGATTAAAACGTTACTAAACAATCAAAATCTTTTATCTAGACTTAAAACAAAGAGAAATAAAAACTCAAAATCCTCTACCTCCGGGACTGCAATTTCGATCCAGGCTTTTCCATACTGTCCTCGTACCAAAGCTGCTGGTAAATGTACTCTATCAGCGATTACTTTGAAAAGCAAGGCTCTTTCGAGATAGGAACCAACTCTCAACATTCCCAACGGGATTACACTAGTTTCTATACTTTCTTTGATTTCCTTCAAATGAATTTCTAGCTGGTGATCCACACATCTGATTAGAGGATCCGGACCTGACATTTGTTGGACCACAAACTTGGCCAGCATCTTAGCACGCGAGGCCACGTAGTTAATATTTACAAATCCTTGTGTCGTCTTTGACACTCTGAATGGAAAACCATGATACTTATAGGATTCACGCGGAGATAAACTTAGAATTAATTTTCTTACACGTCTTTCGACTCCGCGGCGATTAACTTGCATTTAAACAATTCTATGTAATCATAGAGATATGAATCACACTGTAGGCGACCAAATTTGGAATCCATCGTTAAATTTAATATTGCCTGGGACAAGAAAACGTTTCTCTTATTGTTGATATGTGTATTCTCTTGTTTACCCTCTGAAAAAAGAAACAATAATTTCATTACACTTAACGAAGAAAGAGGAATATAAATAATGCTGTTCACCTTCCAAGTTCGATTCATGTGGTTCCTCGCGAATGCAATTAACCACGTAGATAGGTTCCAAGGGGCAGAACTTGAATCGGAAAATATCATCCAATATGGGAAAACTGATTAAGATTAAGACAAAAATGAAAGTATAAAATGAAGCAAGCAAGTATAGAATAAAATACATAAAGATTCTAAAAATATCATACGCGCAGACGTTTCTTCGAAGTACATAAAATCCATCTCGTGTGATATCATGCAAAGATAGTCGTCCAGTTAAAGCGAACTTGATCGGCAAATGCGCGTCAAACAAGACTTCTATGCATGTGTCCCATGAAGGAACTACTCGCGCTGTCGACCGGTTGTTCAGCATGCTATAATCATTATTTTCGTAAATCGTACGATGAAATTGCGTCTGTACTTATTTCATGTTAGCCTCACTAATTTAAATATCTGGCGGAGACGAAAGTATCTGCCAGAACCGGATCCGCGCATAATAATTGAATCAATTGGGCGGCTGCGTTCCTTATCGGGATCGATTTAACGTCGCACAATAGATTATATAATCTTTCAGGCCCCTGAGCCTTCAGAAATTCTTGCTTCCCGATCTTCTCGATACACATGGTGGACAGAGCTTTACAGCAAGCGATTTTGAAATCATTCATCGATATACAGCTCAACTGTTAATCAAACAAACTATGTAATTAATTTTTCCTCGATTTAAAAATTACAATTTTATTGAGTTGTGACATACGTATAAATATTATGCAAATTAAATATATATTAAAGCAAATGTATACTTCGAAGGATGCACATATGGCATCGATGATATCTCCCGTAATTATAGTATCTCTCAAAGCCTGGTATCTTGCTATTGTAATGATGCATTCTATAACTCCAACCAGAATTTCAACAGGGACTTTTCCCCCTGTTTGTTTCATCAGCCATAACAAATAATTCTGAGGATAATATTCTTAAAATATTCTTCATTAAAGTAAACAGTTTGCTACTTGGACGCATAAGATTACCTGTCCGTGAATGTCCAATAATTCTTGACAATTCTTCACGTCGCACTTCAGCAGTTGATTTAAAGCGAATAAAGCCGCCTGTCTAGCGGAAAATTTTAAATTTTCGTTCTTTAATACATCTGAAACGATATCGTGAATTATTGTACTACGTATTGATTTCAAGAAAATTGATTTTTTCAATCTACCTAGAACATGTTTCACACAATCGCTGGCAGTTAATTCCTTGGCTGCTTGATTGTACAGAGTCATCATACCGATACCATGACAACTGATTTCATACATGTTAGCTTGTACGTTGCCCATTAATGTACGCAATAAATAATCGACGATGCCATAGGTATATAAGGCCTTTACAAGAAACGCATCAGCAATAAATCAAGTAGTATTAGATAAGGAGATATGAGTTTCAAAAATGTCTACAGTTTGTACTAAACTAGATGAATTTTTAAAATTAGTTCCCTTAAATTGCATGTAGTACTTTTCTGCCCCTAGACGTGTGTGATAAACGGACAGCTATATCCAGAGCTTCCATAAAAAGCTTTGAGTGTGATGTGTCTTCTATGTACTTTAATATCTGTTTGATACCGCCGATATCGTTGAACAATTCTGCTGTAGTGGGATTGTCGCAAGCAAAACGGAGGATCCGGAGTGCATCCATATGAAGATCTTCCCACTCGATGTTCTAAATAAGTACAAGATGTATCTTCATGAAACTTAGAAGTACCAGATAGAAGAATCTTCTTCAGTTACAAGAATATCTTACATCCAAAAATTTCAATAAAACTTCAAGTCCATTCGTGCGCCGAAAGTGATCGTGCAGATAATCATCTTTATTTCTTCGTACTAGATCGGTCACTACATCGAGTGCAAGCTTCTGAATCTCAGTATACGGGGAATTAAAAAGCTCGTAGACGAGTTCCATGTTAAAATTCTGAAAAATTGCAGATTTTTTTCAAAATTAATCTCGCAAGTGTGAAAGGAATTTTACAAAATGGATCGTTTAACTTGTTATCCTAATGAACCTTAGTCTCGATGATCTCCTTCGCTCCCACAGGATCTTGTAATAGATTATATATAATTTGCATGGTGTTCTTCTTCACGTCAGGATCTGGTGATCGAAGTCTTTCGAATAGGAAGTTCATATCCTGACACTGTTTTAATAATTGTGCTGCTCCAAACATGTCTTTAGTCATTTCTGCTAGGATCAAGGAAGAGAATTCATGCATGAAAATATCCTGTTCGTTGATAAGGACTTTAATGAAGTGCGGAATATAATAATCGGCGTCCAACAGGAAATCACGGACATTGGAGATGGCTACCATTTCGGCCAATAATTTTGCTGCGAATCTATTTTATTTTATTTTAAAAATTACAATTAGATAACATTTAAAAACATTACTTTTATACATATTAAATATCATTGATATTAAATATAAAAATTGATAATTATATTTTTATCTTTTTTGATACTTTTTATGTGTTTTATAGAAAATATAAAAATTAAGAAATCAAAGAAAAAGAATAACGAACTTAAAATAAACCTTCGTGTAAATAAATCCTCATGTGTAATCAATAGTATCACGCTATCTACAATTTCAAGATCAAACAAAACTTCTAGGTTCTCCTGACATTTGCTACCAAATTTTGCCAAAGCTGCCGCTGCAGCTAACAGAACAGGCTTTTCCTGACATTGCAGCAATAATATCGCTGTTCCAGGATATTTCACCTCTAAACGGAGAGGGTCGAACTGGTTCTTCGTTTGCTGTTCTCGGTCCACTCGTGTTTTACCCTTGGATACACATTTCTACGCATAATTTTCAGTATTTAATATATAAAAAAGAAGGAGAAACAGAATATATGTATTTTTAATTGTTTAAATCTTACTTTTACATGTTTTGGTCCCATACTTTTTTATCTCTCAGTAGAAGTTGAAAAATTATTTATGTTTAGCATGACTTATAGAGTTCTTCACTGAATATTTGTGATAATATCCAATGAATAAAATGTATGACATGAATATTGCCGCAATTGAATTTCGTAGGATTTTTAAAAGCTCGTATGTTGCTTGCACGGTGTTCTTTAATTGAAAGATCTTAATCTAACGGTGTTCTTCTTCTAATACAATACATTCATACTTCTTAATTTAAATGCATTTGTAATAGTACGTATAATATTCTTTTTCGTAAAAGATAGAGATCTTATATACCATAAAATACATAAACTTCCTCGCATGAGATATAATAATATATCTCTATATTAGGTACTGTATAATACTAGAATATATTAAAAGACTTATACTATCGAAATCATAACATCGGTAATAGTGAGATCGATTCGACGACTACACGTGTTTTCTATTAATACTATAAAAATATCGGAATACATAAATATATTTTAACATGTACTATATTTGCAACTTTTATGGTAAAAAACGATATAAAAACACTCTACATTGTTTAAACTATTAAATTGTTCTCAAAGTAATAATATTATGATATATTATTACATAATATATATTACTATCGTGGCGTGCATGGCTTTCGGTAAAAAATAGATTTCGTATACCGATGTTTATAACGATAAAAATTAACGTAAAAAAGTATAAAATATGTGTATCGATATGTACAATGCAATATTAATACGATAACATTATCGTGGACGGACGAAACGTTTAGCCAAGTCTTATAACAGTAACCTCAGTTTTCTATGTGCAATGTTTTTTAATATCTGAAAATAATCATATTAAAAAACATTTTGCATATATATGAACACATATTGTTTAAAAACCTATATTTTTGATTTTAGACATCTTTTAGACATCAGAAGCTAGCTTCTCTTCAAAAAAGTAAATGAAGTAGCTGCAGGTAGAAAAATAATACTTCAAAAAAGGATATCATACAGCTGTTTGTGGGACACCTTGAACTAAATGTGTTTTGCTTTTACTTTTAGGCAATGAGGACTGGCTTATAGCTTTGCTTAATCTAGGTTGTCCATTTGGTGAACTGGTAACAAATCCTTCCGAACGCATATCTTTCAGCGAGATATTGGAATTACTCCTTAGCGATGGAGTAGAACTAAATTTACGATTATGCGACAATCGTTCTTGAAGCTTTGATTCATTTTGCCGCGGTATCCTAGATCTGACAGGTGGTGTGTCACGATACTCGTGGATGTTCTCCTTCGAAGTACGAGTCATATTCTCGATTCCCTCCGAAGGTTCGTCGTCTCGCACCATGAGGATGTCTCCGCTGTAGTAATGGTCAGATTGTCTGGACACAAGAATACAAGAAAAGACAGTAAAAGAATTTATTACTTCCAAAAGTGGTTATCTAATAATAATAATTAAAAAATAAAAAAGTTAATTCTACATAGTGGTATCACCAAAAATGGTGATTTTTCTATCTAATTAACTTGTTTCTTTTTGTTAATAAATTCAAGAAGTTCCTTGTCCATATTTAAAGCTGTGCAATGAATTATGTACACTGTTGCATGTAAAAACTATTTTAATTACCTGCGTATAATCTGGCAGCCTTTGTTTTGCTGCATGAATTACAAGTAAAGATAAGATTAATGAAAAATATGTTTAAAGGTTGTGTTAATTATATTCCCTTGTATAAACTTCGTATGCAATTTCTATAGTATTTATGAAGCCAGAACCATCACCCTTGTGCACTACGCGATTAAATGATGTGGTCATATGGGGTTGGTTCTGTTTACCTTTTCTTACCTTTTGGCATTGCGCCAAAGCATACAGCATACTACGGAAAGCACGATTAACAATAGACACGCAGTGGAAACAGACCAAAAGGCAATTTGTAGAGGTTCTTTTGGCTCCCACCAATACTATAATAATAAACATAAATAAATAGAATATTTATACTGAGAATATTTTATAAAATTATTGAATAATATTTTATGAAAGGAGGTACATAGTGTTCTTACTTCAGTAACTGGAGGATATGTAGGTACCAAACGACCAATAACCGTTGGTAAATACATAGACCAAAAGGCACTTTCAGTTTGTCGGTAATTCAATAAAATTGAACTATTGTAAGTAGTATTAATGTTCAAATACCGTAATTGTCCAGGCTTAGCAACATCAAAATGTAAACCCAAAATTTGCGATGGTGTCGGATTTCTAAAAAAGGAAAACGTATGTATTATACAGATATAAGGTACATTATAAATAATATTATAATAATAATATATATATACATTATAAACAATATAAGCTCAAAATAAAGTTATAAAATTATAAACTTACCCATACGTTGCAAAATTTGCATACGCTTTCATAAAAAAGTGACTCATATTGCGATCGTTGTCTGTCCACATGTCACGCTTCAACTTCCATTTTTGAGGGAAGAATTCTGTAAAGATAGTAACTTGATAATTATATTGTTAATGAAAAACTCTGAATTATTGTATTCTTACCAACATCCATGAAAGGTGCCCCTGTTAGCCAAAGAAGCTCTGTGTTGTGAGAAACACTTCGCCACTGTGGTAATGTTAATGCTTCTACAGTTGTATTTAGCACATACAAATATGTAGGTACACGTTTTTCTATCAAAACTTTTGCTATTTTATCAAAAGGAGCAACATAGTGAAAATCAGTCAAGAGCTGAAAATTTAGCATTATAGAAATATACATATAATTAAAAAGTCAAACTATATATACATCGCGTACAACTTACATTAATATACTGATCACGAATGTGGGTAATATTAGTCGGATCTGGCCAATATGTGTACATGTATTTTATAGCTTCATAAACTCCTTGAGAATTTAGAGTGTAGTTGTATTGGAGAACAAGTTCCCAAATTTTCTGATCGAATGATTCCGCATCTATAATATATTGATTCTTGGCTAATGTGGCATTGTTATCTAGGAAGAATGAAATGTTTATTAATTTGTAAAAATTTACAAGATTGCAAAGATTTCGAATTACATACATATAAGGTATGCTGCTTCCTGAGTAGTTACACCAGCCATATATGCTAAGTTATCTGTAAACTTATGACTTTTTATGCTTTCTTCAGGTGTTTCCACAAAGAAACGCCAATCTGTTTCTCTCCAATCTTCGTACCAACTGTCATTTGGTACTGTGAAATTAGTATCCAATACAGGAGCCCAAGGAAACATTCCAATGTGTTGCTTTAATTCAGAATTACCAAGTTCAAAAAAGGATCTGCCATTCTTCAAACACTGCACCAATCTCCAGCTGCTTTCTATGCTACAGCCTAGTGATTCTGCATATACTTTAGATGTATTCTGTGCCCTGTACTTATCTGCTATGACAGCCCAATCTGCCAATGCAGAACCTGATTGAGCTATTACTTTTGATACCATATCTCTGGTTTTAGGTGCAACCATTAATAATCCAGCACTTGCTGCTCCAGCACCAGGTCCAAAAAGAGTTATTGCATCAGGATTACCATTAAAAACTCTGATATTATCATACACCCACCTCAATGCCATAGCTTGATCCAAAATTCCATAATTTCCAGGGCTATTCTCATCTCCTGTACTTAGAAATCCTAGAGCTCCTAGTCGATAGTTAATCGAAACGACTACTACATCGTAAAATGCAGCCAACATGTGTGCTGGAAACAAATTGCTTGCTCCATGAGTAAATTCTCCACCATGAATATAGAACATTACTGGGTACGGCTTAGCTAAACCAGAGCTAATATCTGGCGTAAAAATATTCAAATATAAGCAGTCTTCATCCACATCACGGATTCCTTTAGTAGCACCAGTATATGCACTGGGCTGAGGACAAGCTGGTCCCCAATCAACAGCTTGCAGTAATTGCCAACCTTTATGAGTTTTGGGTGGTTTAAATCGACCTTCTTTTATAGGTGGCATAGCATAAGGAATACCGAGGAATACATTAACATGCTTTGTAACCCTTTCAACTGGTAAACTCCAAGGCCTATGCCTTGCTTGTGGATCATCATATAAATAAACTTTAAATCCTTGCACTTGTCCATAAGCTGTGGTCACAGTAACATCTATAGGTAGATTTTTCGAATCAGACCTCTTTCTTCCTTGAAGATCTTCTCGCCAACCACCCAATATACCAGGTAAAGGTAGTCTTGAAGTTGTATGCTTAAAAAATGACAATCGTTTTGTAATTATAATTTTTTACCAAATTTATCTATCATTACGTGTCATTACTTTTTAAAAGATATCACGCAATTTCTCTAGTAAAAAAAAAATACTAGGAGAATTGTATTACTTGTATTATTTTACCTCGTAAAGGTACCGACTGTCTGGTGCTCTGGTGGGTCCTCTGTAAACAGAGTCCCAGTAACTAGGACGATACCCATACCTTCTATCTTTGTAAACATAAGTGTCGGTTCGGTGATCTGGTCCGTTTTGAGGCACATATACCCCATCGCGACTGTAATACCGACTACCCGGAGGTATTTGTTCCTGACACAACACCGTAATTGCGAGGAAGCACAGATAAAAACAAACGCGTCCAATTGACGAGTATAAAGTATATGCGGCCATCTTGCCCGCGTGCGTATTGGTGTTTCACCAGAAACAGACAGGCGTGGTCTGTCAGTGTGTATACACACGTGACACTTCTACAGGCACGCAATAATGCGAGGAACTCGGTCTTTCAGGAAACTCTTGATGAAGCGGAGAAAAGCGAAAGCCGCAATGAAAGTAAAATCTCACCAACGTTTATATTCTCTTCGAAAACATGCATGGAGAAAGGAAACCAATTAGAAACTAATTAGAAACAAATTTTTGATTACAAAAAAGAAAGGTTAAATGGTCGGGATATGGTAATTATTACACACGTGTACTACTTACGAAATCGAAGGACTGACACGCGCGGGAGCCAACACCCTGTAGTCTGTCACGTTCGAAAACGATCGTTTCTCCCGCTCCTAATACTACCAAACATCGAAATCCATTTTTTGCATCCTGTAACAACGATACCGATACGTTATCATTCACCTTAAACACTTTTCTTCTCGTAGATTTATGTTAACTTCATTATATTTTTTTGTTTTGAATACGTTTATGGACGTATGTACCATCGAACCATAAATATAAAATGATATCATAGAATGAAACCTTATAAAAATAATCGGCGAAATTAATCAAAATCAAGTTCACTGATAAGATTGAATTGCAGTTGCGTGATACATAATAGCGAATTTGAGTATATTTCGAAAATATTATTCGCAACACGAATGCTACTCGGAGTTACATCCAAAGTCTACTGAACGGTAATGTTACTCTCGCGTGCAAATACGTGCTGCAACCGACTGCCCACGCGCTAATAAATACTTACTTGTTATATAGTGAAATTATCGAGCAGTATGATCTACGATCCCTGTGATCGTCCAAGTATGCCGTCGCGTGAACGGATGAGTTGTACTCGTACTCGTACTCGTACTCATACTCATACTCATACTCATACTCATACTACACGTACATATACAGTTCAGTCATACTGGCTCGTGCGAGGGATACGCTTATCTTCCGGCAATTTTACCTGAAATATAATAGATTACAACAGTGATACTCATTGCGAACGTTATTTCATATTAATTTTTTGTCACTTTCTAAATATTAGAATATAGTTAATTATTAAACAATTTAATAAGCTTACTAAAAAAATTCCTAATATAAATTATAAATATAATATTTTCTGTCTCAATGTAGTTCCTGGATACCTTTAATTTTGAAACTAAGTGTCAAGTAAAACCAGATCATCGCTGAGTACCATTGAAATTGATAACATACCAAGGCATGAATAATGGGATAATCAACAATTCCCCCCTCGATTCCACCGTTGCTCTCGTCGTTGAATAATCTCTCTATCGATTACGATCGCCTCGAGCTGGTCTTCGTCATTTTGTTACTTTTGTTGCTTTTGTTGCACTCTTCATAGTCCATTAAGTACTGAAGTTTATATAATCAGCATGTAGATCACATACACCTAAAAAGATATTCTGATTGAATATACAGCTACAACGTGATACAGATTGTGAGATATGTTCATGATTTACCCGGAGCTAGGTGGGAGATATTAGTCCCCGCGGAAATAATCGATAAATGACACTAATATAAAGATTATGTAATAATCTTAATATTTTCTATAATAATTAATTAATATTAAGCTCAATATAAATTATTAATATAATAATTTTAATATAATATTATTAATTATATTAATTTAAATTATATTATATTAATACAAATTATTAATATGTCGGAGTCAGGTTGGCACTTTTGGGCGTTCTATGAACCTTTACTTACTTTACCGTCGCGGATGTGGTTAGTGTTTATCTGTGCGAATGTGGGCACTACAAGAGGCTCTGAGTAACGACAATAGGATGTCCGAAATGATGGTGACAACGAATCCAGGTTCGATAACGAATCCACTGTCTACGGGATGACCAGTATCAGCGTGACTTACTCGGCAATTCGCTCAACGACTAACTAACTAAAAACTCCCTGAATCCAGATGAACCTACCCTTATATACTCCTTTCCCCGCTTCTCGGGTCAATCCTTGTTTTTAAGGAGAGTCATAAAATCATTCCGTACCTCTGTCAGGCCCTCCCGTGACCGTGGCTACGTCTGGTGACCCGTTATGTCACCTTAAACCTGAACCCATCGTCGTAA